AATGCAAAGGCAGCACAAAGGAGAGATTTCATAACCCTATAGTGTGAGCTCTGTGTAAGAAGGGCTTTTGGCATCTCCTCAACGTGAAGTGGAAAGTATCACAGTCTGTTGAACGATAAGCTGGAGAACTGTACCTGCTTTTCTTTTATTGCCCTCCTAAAGTACCAGAAAAATGGTCCTATATCATCGTTCAGATGTTGTATGGCTGGCCTTGCAAGCATTTTGCAGTAGAGCTCACATCAGCAGAGAAGCACTTAACCGTTGTGTGTTGTTTTCAACACTAGATTGAAAAAGTTGGGCCACACTTACACATTAATTAAACCCCATGCCCACCAGGTGGAAGATCTGTAATACACAAATACTGTTCAGTTCCTAACACTGTTACAAAGGTGTTAACTGGAGTTTGTGATGATCTTTGAGGTTGTAGTAAGTGGTGGTGTTGTATTGGACTGCATTACATAGAAGTGTTTCTGATGTTCTGTCACCACTTTTACATACATTATGTGTGAGACAGTTACTTGAGGGATTTCTAGTTCTCTGAAATGGCACAGTGGTCGATATTCTTACCGTCAGTTGTCAACAATGTTTCTCCGCTATTGATTTCCATGAGATCATCAAATGATCCAGACTTGAGCCTTATTGTTCACCAACATGAATTTTTATTGTGCTAAACTAGTAATTGTTTTGTCTAAAATTTTGAAGGCACTAAGAAACAGGGAAGTGCTATGTGGTTCTGACAGCGATTAACACAAATTAAGGCATGATGAACTTGGTCAAATTGAAAAAATAATATGTAAACTGTTTTATTCTGCCAAAATGGCATATTTGTAACTGCGTAATGATAAGGTATTTCTTTCTAAAAATAGTCTGGGAACAGGAGAGATTTAAAGATATTTGAAGATATCATAGACAGGAAGCAATGTAAAACAGTTCTGTCACTGTGTCAGGTCTCTGAAAAGTTAAAGTATAAAAGCAGGGAATGTGAACAGGTATTGAATTTATGATAAAGATGGGCTATACATAGTAACAGCCTTGTACCACTGTGAATTTTGAAAAGATGGGGTTTTTTTTGTTGGGTGTCAGAGAAGGTTATAATGCTGTAGTTCACTATTTGCATGACATTGAATTGTGAGGTGTTAGTGTCGTTTATGCTTATCTATATATAAACGACGTAAACAAATTAGACATGCCTGTATAATGCAGTCCACTACAACATTATACTTAAAATTTAGCTTCAAACCATAGAACAGAATCATACAAACAACTAATATCTCAACAAAACTGTACAGATTTTTAACTAAAATAGTATTTGTAGAGGTCCTTTTCACAGAATACATCTTGTCACAGCACAAAAAGCGCAGGTGTAAATAATGAAATCAGTGGTGGCTGATTTCCATTTAGCTCCTACAGTTTCAGGGTTCTGGTATTGTAGCTCACTGTCAAACTGTCATGGCATACTGTGACACTTGATAAGATCAGAGCCCACATTGTTGTTAGTCACACCTGCACTTTTCCACCTGTGACAAGTCAAAATGTCTGCTGTGAAAAGACCTGTTGGATGCACCCTTTGTTTTATTGTTTCACCCACTGCAGCAAACCTCCAGTTTGTTCCTCTTTTCCAACAAGGTGTTGTAGATTTACCCCAGCGTACCATTTTTGTACGTGACAGCCTTTATAAATATTCCTAAACCCAGCTGACAGATATATTTGTATTTATGATCAAATTCAAGTAGTGTAGTGTTAAGCTGTAGAATCTGAGTTGTGTGTTCGTCGTCAAGAGACAGTCACCCAGACATGATTAATGAAAACTACACAGCAGCATTTTGTCATGCTCGCACAGGTGCATGTGAACTGGACATTGCAAACTGCAGTTCTGATACTGGACAGTGGAACATTTGGCTCAGCTCGTATTTTGAGACATTTTTACATTTCCATTACTCTGGAAGGCAGATAAATCTGCAGGCCCAATTTTTATTTTCTCTGGCAGATGTGCCTGGTCCCCTTTTTAATGTTTAGATTTCCAGCCGACCAGCTCAGGTCAGGCCAGTTGAAATTGAATTCTCTATGGGGCTTGATACAATACAACTTGTAGAGCCTTCATACTTTACACAAATTACGTGAGGACATCATTTTGGCTGGCACACACTCGTTAGTGACATTAGGACACGCATAAACCTAGCTTAGTTAAGAGAAGCGCTGTTGAGGCAATCAAGATGGCTGCTGCTGATATCAAACTTTAAATTGAAATACTATTTTCAAATTCTGATGGCAAAGATTGAAAGCTGTTCAGACATATTGGTGCAACACCATCACAGCTCATCTGTGCACGCAGACTTTGTTTGCTGTATCAGTTGCTCAGTGCTACATTATGTTTTGTTGCTCTGCTTGGTTGTAGGTCTGTCCACTTGCGTCTAAAAGCATTTTGATCCACAGCAGTTGATAATGCCCCTTGGAAATTGAAAATGAACTGGGAGATTGCAGACTAACTGCAGTTCAGTTTGATCTGGTGATGTCAGCTTACATGTAATAGCATATACATGGCAGTAATTTCCATTTCATTGTAGAGTTCCAGTAAGCCATGCCTTGCTATTAAACCAGCATGCACAACACACGTGGCCCTGGACTCAGCACACCTAAACGTAATTCAGCCACAGTTAATGTTTTAATTGCACCAGGACTTTTCTTGTTGTGGCACCTTAATATCTGCAGGGGAAAGGATTGCTTATCAGTGTTTTAGAGAGCTGGACAGCTGTGGGTCACTTTCAGTTGATGCCAGTATAAGTAATGCTGTGACCAAGATAAACATAGTTGCATAGTTTTTTGACGCATGGCACAGGCAGATAACTGTCCTAAAGCCAAACAACTATCAGGCATGTAAGGCCCATGTTAGTCCTCTAGGTCTGAAGCCTTGGTGATGGTGTCTGTGTCAATTAATTGTGTTGTGTGTTTGTACTGATTGAAGTGTTTGTGTGACCAACAGACTTTAAATGTTTGCAGAATGTCTACTGGTAACTAGTCATTAAAATGTGCTGTAGACATTTAATGTTAATGTATATTGTGAGATGTGATATCAGATCAGTTTCTGACATGCTGCGTTTTTCTTTACCAGATTGGTAACACTGCCAGTGAGGCATTCCTTGACGTGTTTACAAACCCACTATCTTCCCTCTGCAGGTGGTTATCACCAGGCTAAAGCTGGACAAGGACCGTAAGAAGATCCTGGAGCGCAAGGCCAAGTCTCGCGCCGATGGAAAGGAGAAGGGCAAATACAAGGAGGAGACCATTGAGAAGATGCAGGAGTGAAAATGATCTTTTGCTATCAATAAACTGTATAAATGGACCATGCTTTGTCTGTCTTGTCATTTAGTTCTGGAGGTGGGATGGTTTTGTCTTTGAATTGTGTCGAATGTACTTCTAGGTTTAGGAATCAACATTTCAAACATGCATACTTTATTTAAAGATTGTTGTATATCACCTGTCAGAGAAGATAAGATCATTGTGAGCCCAAACAACACTGGTGCACTCGGTTCTAATGCAGTGCTCAAAGTGAGTCTTGTAGCAGCCAAAGGTGTAGGTAGGAAACTTTTTCTTTTGTGCTGCCAGAGGTCTGCTTTCCAGAGAAACTTCTTTTGAATACTGATGTGACCCAGATGTGATATTTGCAAAAACATGACAGAATTTCACTAATATTGGACTTGAAGTCTGAGAACATGGTATACAAGGATACTTCCTGGATAAAATCAACAACTCTTTATTGTCATTGTACGAGTACAATGAAATTGGGGTAGCTGCTCTCAGATTCAGTGCATTAAAGGTATAATTTAAAAACAAGGCAGCAAAACAACAGCTATAGAAATGTGATAAGAAACTAGAAACAAGAAATCACTAAACTGTCCAAATTACACTAGTGTACATATTTACACTTTTACAATAGTTTTGTTGCAAGCCACATCCGTGAGTCCCAGTAGAAGGGAAGGATAACACCAGTAGAACCTAGTATATTATATGCAACAGTGGAAAAAACAGGAATATTGCACAGAAGAGTATTTAGTGAATATTCAAGTGTTTTCAGGATTGTGCAGAGTTCAGTGTGATGACCGCTCTGGGTAGAAGCTGTTTTTCAGTCTGTTTTTGCTTTGATGGTCCTAAAGCACCTCCCTGAGGGCAACAGTTCAAATAGGTGGTGACCAGGGTGGGATGGGTCTCTGAGGATGCTGTGGGCTCTCCTGAGGCAGCGTCTATTGTCCTCAAGACATGGAAGAGGGCAGCCAATGAGCTTTTGGGCAGTGTTAATGACCCTCTGCAGTTTCTGTGTCAAGGTATTCTTCCTGAGTATCCTTAGGAAATACAGTCTCTGTTGTGCCTTCTTCAGCAGTGCCGTGGTGTTTGTTATCCATGACAGGTCCTCCTCGATGTGAGTGCCCAGGAACCTGAAGGATAGGAGTTACAGTAAATGCTGCTTGTGCATGCATATATTTGTCTGAGGGACTTGATTTAAATGCCACATGCATTTTAAGGAAAACAAGTAAAATGAAATCAGATTAAAGTCGTGACGTGCAACATTTTTTGTCACATGGGGTCTGGTGTTGCCTGTTTGGTATTTGTGATTTTGTAGTTTTACAAATGAGCAGTAGGTGTCACTTTTTCCCCACAGACTGAACCTTTTCATTACTATAAGTCCGAAATGAAACAGTTTATAATAAATAATGTCAGAAGGCAAAATGATTTTACAAAGAGTCTGTCAAAATTGAATTCTTTGAACAGCTTATGTTTAATCCAAGGAAAATGGTCCTAATCATTTTTTACAAGCTGATTTTACAGTTTCTCTGTACTCTTAACTGTAGTAATAAACAGTGCGTTAATCTACAGAGCAATAAGACTTAATTATCCTTGTATCTTTTAAGAAAGGCCAGACTATAATCAGATATATGCTTTAGAAATTAATGTTAAGTATAACCGCACTCGCCCTCCTCCTCCCTCTGGTTACTGGTCACATGATACACATTGCCACTTCAACACTGTGGATCCTGTCTGGCAGCTGGACGGTACTGAAGTTGTCTTAAGTCGAAAGTTTGTACTTTTTAAATATCTTTTGGTGTAAAAAGAAACACCACCATGGCGGAACTACGTTTCGTGATCTCCATGTCCGTGGTGACCCTGTTTTGGGGCATTATTGGAGGAGTGGTGCCCTGGTTCATCCCCAAAGGACCAAACAGAGGGTGAGTTTGTTAGCTTCGCTTTAGCTTCCAGCTGGCTACAAAGAGCTAACGTTAACTAAGTTAAGATTATATTACATGTTATCCCTTGACTGTCAGGTGTATAAGGTAGTGATGGTTTGTTTAACTTAGTTTTTTATCGTTACATGAACAGTTTAAGAAAGTTTAAGCTTGTGGGTGAACTTTACTCGCTGGTTGGTAAAAGTTACGGGTAGCTAACTGAAGCTAACTCCACTTCCTCCCGTGACATCGATGGCAGCTCAATCATTTTTACCTCTTTTACACTGGGGTTATTGACACCTCTCTATCACAAATCTATATTGTATTTGCCGGAATATTTAAATAATAAAGTCAAGAATATATATACCCCATCTCTGGAAAATGTGTCCAATGCAACTTCCCTTATTTGCCGTGTCACTCGCATCACGAGATCACACTGTTAATGGCCTGTGATGCGTTTAAGACCTATTATGCAGTCGTTAAATATTCATTATACCACTGTTAAGTGTTTTCTCTATTTCCACAGAGTGATAGTCACAATGCTGGTATTGACTGCAGTATGCTGCTACCTGTTGTAAGTATCCTCATAATGGAAGTGTACCAGGATTTCTATAACACTATGTTGTAAAAGATGTCATACATGTGTGCACAAATAGCATGTTTAATGAAATTATTGGAAGGTCAGCAAGATTTAGATCTATATTATAAATTGTGGAAAGGGTCAGTCAGTTTATCCATTGACAGAAAATTGCTTGACATTTATTTATATATTCAATGTTTATTTGTATAGGGACAAGTATGTAGCAGACATAAATGCCACACACCACAGTCTAAGCTAATTTGCAATGCCCGTCTATAGCTGGGCCTTAAGATACAAAAGACTCAGGTACAAGAACACAAGTAACAGTGCAAAGTACACACAACAGTAAAAAGAAAGACATAACAATACAAGACACGAACTGCAATGCATATAATTAGCACCATAGAATAGGAAGCACCAAATTAGTCATGACTGCGTAACTGATTCCTCTTTAAAACTGTTTCAGTTTGAGTTGAAGTGATCGAAATCAGGATCCAATTTGAGATCTGTAGGTAAAGAATTCCACATGTTAAACACACGGACAGAAAAAGCTGAGGAATTACACAGGGAAACCTTACAATTCCCATTGGCTGCTCCACGTGTCACTGAACCAGACGTTCTAAGAGGAACCACAGTGTCACCTGCCTGATCATGTAGGCATTTATGAATGAGTTTAAAATTGGCGAAATTAATGAAATTATCAAAACATAACAATTTAGTTTCTGAGGAACATGGAAGCGATGTGTTCTTAATGGTTTCCTGTCCAAAATTTTAACTGCTACTGAATAGATGATCGATTATAATCATTTAACATGAATAATTTCAGTAATTTGATACACAAAAATAAATTAACATACATTCCCTTGTTCCAGCTTCTCAAATGTAACTCGCTGCTTCTCTTTGTCGTATGTTTTATTGAATATCTTTGGAATTTTTGAGTGTTGAAGACTTTCCCGTGGCCTCTGGGACATTGTTACTGGCATTTTTCAATTATTTGATGACATCACTTTCAGTTGCAGCTTTGAAAATCTACATCATAAATAATAAAACAAAAAGAGTACCCATTATGCGTATTGTGTTTCTGTGTTGTGATCAATTATTTACATTCACACCACAAGTAGTTGTAAGTGTGCATATGGTGTCATGTTACATGTTAGATGGGTAAAAGAGTATAGAAGAGACAAAACAGTGTTGCAGCCAAGTGGAGTTATTTCCCAAAGGCCCTCAGTTTGACGCTGTGTAGAATAATAAATAAAAACTGGATGTTTTTTCATCACAAATGCGGGCCTAAATTCAGAATTATCTTTTGTGAGAGAATAAGAAATGGCCTGCATAACTGAGCTTAGAAGGGTGTATTTTCAATTGTACAAGTTTGTCTTTATCTTAATCTTCCCTCTGTCCATCAGCTGGCTGATAGCAATGCTCGCCCAACTGAACCCACTCTTTGGGCCTACTCTGTCCTCTGACACCATCTGGTACCTGAACTATCACTGGCCTTAATCTACCTTTCCAGGACTCCTGACCATGCAGGTAAACTATTGAACCTACAGCTGATGCAGTAGCTTTTATGCAGCTCATAAAGCCTATAGATTAAGTATTTTATTGCTTGGCTTGAATTTTTAAAACTTAGTCAATGTCATTTCTCCCAGCAGGGAAGGACCTGACACTGCTGCATACCAATGGACGTCTGCTTCTCACTTAACGCAGAGATCATTCCTTCTGAATCACCTTAAAGTCAGGTCTCTGTGTGATTACTGAGTGATGCCCACACTGGTGCCTTGTACAGAAATGATTTCCAAAGGACTTCTGAGAGATCTCACCGAATGTGCTTTACTTTAAATTAAAGCAACCTCCACTTGGTGTTGTTTGGCTTACGCGTTATGTATATTGTGTTTATTGCTGTTGTTAATATGAATGACCGTGCGTATAAATAGTTCATGTGTGTTGTGTTTGATGCCGTCTCTTTTTTGTCTGATGATATCAGTGATGGATGTAATCCATTCCATAGATGTTAATTAATAAACTAATAATCAGTATTGGTCCTGCCTAATTTGCCTAATTTTTGAATGTAACTTAAAGTATGAATGATATGACTTAATTTTCCCAGTCAATAATGTCATTGTAGATATGATAATTTCTCCTTATTATGTTAACATTCAGTTAGTGGTAATTTAGTTTGGTCCTTGTTTACTATTCTCCAAAAGTATGCCACATAATAAAGAACAGATACAACAAGGCGGGACTAGGAAGTTATTTTAACACTTTTGTATAAATGTGTCTCATTTCAGTGCGTATAGGTAAAATAATTTTTTCAAAGTGTATCAGATCTGTTCATTTTTTGTTATATGAAGCATAGGATTATGTATTATAGACACACATATATATATAGTCTCTTTTTAGTACCAGAAAATGTACCGGTTAGTACGGTCCAAGTCGACGGTCGAAGTTCAAAACAGCCTTCCTGCTTTCCGTAGTTTAAGCCGACTACGTTGGCAACATGGCGTCCTCAGATGTCCACGTCCGAATATGTGAACAAGAAATACTCAAATATGACTTGGAAATCAAAGCTCTCATCCAGGTGCGAGTATTAATTTGGTAAGACGACTTAGCGCCACGTCGAGACATGCTGGTGTGTTAGCTTGTCATGTAACGGAACCGTGTTGTTGTGTGATAGCATCGATGCTACATCAGTCAGCCGGTGCACCGACAGCTCGAGCTGCTCTGTCTCGAGAGGAGCTTCCGCGGCCGGTGGAGGAAAAGTGTTTCAACTTATCTTTTTAATGTGCCAAATGACCTTATGGATAAGTTAAGACAATTATATGAAATGAGAAATTAAAACTGGAAGCAGAAGAGCAGGAAGCAGAACTATAAGTGTCATAAATTGGCAATAAATAAAGGTAACGTTAGGCCATTCTGTTGGAAGATGAGGCGTCATAATGACACTGATTTGGAGGAGGATAAACGTGCTTTATTTGCCACGTTTTTCCCCACAAATTATTATAATTATTATCATTATTATTATTATTATTATTATTATTATTATTATTATTATTAATAGTGTATTTGTGATAATTTAGCCACTTGGTGATAGGCAAGGCAGCTTTATTTGTATAGCACATTTCATACACAAGGGCAATTCAAAATGCTTTACAGAGCAATACAATATAAAACATAATAAAGGATACAGAAAAGAATAAAGAGAAAAAAGATATCCAAGGTAAAATTAATTACTAAATTATTTACAATTTAAAAAATAACAAAAGTGCAGACAAGAGGTGCAAAAATAAAATGATCCATTTAAATTTGAGTTTAAAAATAAGGTCAGTCATTACAGGGTGGAGTAGGTAGTGTAAAAGAGGAATGTTTTTAGCTCTGATTTAAAATTGGTCAGAGTGGGCGTGTCTAATATCTCTGCATGACAACAAAACGCTGCTTCACCATGTTTTGTTCTGACTCTTGGGATGGTCAATTTGCCAGCCCCAGATGTCCTCTGGGCAGATTTTGATGATCGATTAATGGTTGAAGTCATTTGTCAAACAAAAACTCAAACAAATATTTACTGATTCCAGATTCCCCTTTGTTCTCTGCTTATCATATCATTTAACATTTTTCTTTACTGTTCATCAGAAGGAAAAACAAGGAATTTAAAGGCCTCTTTAGACTGTGGGACATTGTAATTAATTGATAATAAAAAGAATCATTGCAGGTCTAGAGTTACTTTATTTTTGAGCACATTTGGTAGCCCATGTTGACGGATTATTCCCACCTGACAGAATGATGCACCTCTTATTTACAGCGATTACCAGTGATGGCTTATCGTTAGAACACTGATCGTCCAGCAGGGTGTCTTTACTGTCACAAATGAGAGCAACATGTCAATACCAATAACTTCACCTGACAGTAAACACATAAATGCATGTGTCTCTCTCATCCTTTTCTTGATGTCTCACCAGGACATTAGCGAGTGCGCAGGCCCTCAAACCAAGCTGACCGAACTGAACGCTGAGGTGAAAAAGAGTTTCCACAATCTCAGGTTGCGGATTCAGGTGAGAAACACTGTTCGTGAACATCTCTGCAAACATCAAAGAACCCCATTTTAGGCTGTACATAAACCACTTGCACTTGGTTGTATAATAATTGATTGCTTCAAACACATTTGTGATGTTTTATTTACTTTGACAGGATTTTGAGCAGATGGCGATGGAGCAGGACAAAGAGTCAGACAAGCAAGCTTTGATGAGTCAGGTGGAGGGACATAGAAAGCAGATGCTGAGGTAATGTTCACCATCCCTTGACTTGTATAAATAATATTTGTAATTGAATAATGTCTATTTAATGATTTAAATTTTTTGCCTACGGCTTGTTTTGCAGTAACCAGACAGGTTGGAGGAAAGCCAACCTGGCCAGCAAACTGTCCATAGACAATATGGAGAAGCAGGCACTCCTTAATGGAGGAGATAGTGCTGTGAGACAGAGGTGAGCTGATGCATTCAGAGACAGGGATCAGCTTTATGTCTTGGCAAAGTATTTTCAAACAACTTACTAAATCCTGTCAGTGTTGTAATAAGAAAAAAAATACATTGGTTTTTTCATCCTTCTAGTCCTTTTATCATATACGTTTGATCAGAAAAAGGACATTTAAATCAATTGTATGTCTTGTTTTCTGTCTGTTTCTCAGGAAGATGACCAAAGAGGGGCTGGCTCAGTCAGCCAGTGACATCACGGAGAACCTAATGAGCATCAGCCGGATGATGGCGCAGCAGGTTCAGCAGAGTGAGGAGACCATGACGTCGCTAGGTTAGTGAAGGAAACGCCTGATGTAAGGAGCGTCTTAACTGTGTGCTAGCAAAATCCTGAATTATCTCTCTGAAACCACGGGCACCAAGTACTTAAATTGTGATTGTTTTCTTGAACTTGTTTGATTCAGATTTAAAAGGTACTAAAGGGGATCAGGGGCCGGTTGCACAAAACACCTTAAGTTAAGATTTTCCTTAAAGTCCTAGTTAAGGTTTCCTCAGAATAAAACTGGTTGCGCGAAACACTCTCAAGTCTTCTCCTTAAGGTTTCCTTTAAATGTTCACTTAAGTATTTATGGTTTTCTCCTTGCCTTGGTCTTATACTTAAGGAATGCCATTACGTGAAAGACCTTAGTGACCAAAGCAAGGTAAAAAAAACTTAAGGTACCCTCGACTCTATCTTAACTGCAACATGACTGAGTTTATGGTGGTAAATGAAAAAAAAACGATCACTCCAGAGGAGAGTGTTCTGCTACCAGGAGGATCCAATGGCTAGGCTTTTGATTTTACACTTTAGATTTTATTGAATTCAGGTTTGTTGCAATTTCTTACAATCTTTTTCGGTTTTCTGTTTTTTTTGGGATCACATTTACTTACGAGGATGTGCTTTTCATGATTGTACTCCTCCAGAAGTATAATCTTTTCTCCCTCTGACCAATATGGTTTTCTTGTCCTCTATTCTTTTGCCATTTTTCCACTATCTAACTTTAAGCCAAATTTGTGAGATGATAACAGGCATCACAAGCGTGACTCCTAGGTAACAAACAATCTCCATGGAAAATTTTTCCGCTGTAAAATGTCTTTCAACGCAGTAAATTAGTTTTTTCTTAACTAAGGAAACCTTTTAAGGGATTCCATGCAACTGTGTAAGCCCCTCAGCTATGGAGAAAGTAAGCCTTGAGTGTCATAGTTAAGGCAAAAACTTGTGTTTTGTGCAACCGGTCCCAGCTAAATCACTCTGTTGCCATGGATGTTTAGGTTGGGGCAAAAACTTTGTGTCCAGTGATTTTAGAAGACTTTAATCATTTCACAGTATTTGTTTTAATGCACGTATTAATTACACGTCTTCTTTTTAAAGCAACCTCCTCGAGGACAATCCTAGAGACCAATGAGGAATTTAAGACCATGACGGGGACCATCCAGCTCGGGAGAAAACTCATCACCAAGTACAACCGCAGAGAGCTCACCGACAAACTGCTGATCTTCCTGGCGCTCGCCCTCTTCCTCGCCACAGTTCTCTACATCCTTAAGAAGAGACTGTTCCCCTTCCTATAGACCAGGTACCTTTCTGAGGAGCACTCCCATTACCACATACATTACTTTCCATGCTCAGCGCAAATGATTTAAACAACCCTGACTGCCTGCGTTTCATATTACACACACATCACAGACAAGTGTCTGCGCGGTGGAATGCGGACCGCTCACTCTGCGGAACTGTGACGCTGCTGAGGGTGAAATATTGTCCACAAAAAGTGAAGATAAACCTACATGGCTGTAATGGCCATGCAGTGTTTTATTTACTGAGAAGGGTTTTGTTCATCAATGGGAGTATTTTATTCTTCTGGAAAAGAAGATGTACATGTTGGTGGCATGAAATGTGTCAGACAGCCATCTTTGATTAGTGTGAGAGTCCATTGCTTTTGATGAGAGGAGATGGACGATCCACATGAATCTTTTCTTTCATACATTCCAGTACGGTTTTTGTTTTCGTACATATATAGTTCACATATCAAATATGCACAGTACATATATTCATAAAGATACTTTCCGAACTTTCTGTACAGAAATTATTCTCACTCCTATAATGCTCTCTCAGTTTACTTCAGATGTTGCCATGACTACAGATAATGTGCTGACGGCAGTGAAACTCATCTTTATGTGTGACACATAATGGGATAGATTAGAAAATGTCTAAAAAAATAATGTGAACACAATTTCAGTACAATTTAATAATTGCAAAATAAGTGCCACTATTAATTTCAATTAAACAAGCTCTTATTGCCGTGTCTGTCATTAAAACAATGACCGTACTATTAATTACTGTTCATCAATAGTAGTATTACATGTCACAATATAAAGGATGTATGTGGTGGGGAAATTTTTCGGACTTAAGACAGAAACAGTTCTTCACTAACTGATGTTTTAACCAAACAATTTCCCATCACCTGATATCATATAGTCACTGTGCAAATCATGCAACGATTATGATACAAGCATTTTGTTTAATTGTTATTTATGAGGATATACTGTATAATCACTGTGAGGTATAAATTATTACATTATAATGCTATTATTTAAAAATACAATACTGAAATGGCTTTAAACCTTGATATAAGTCCGACTGCAGTCACTCAGTTTGCGTTTCACCAGCTGGATAAGCAGAACAATGCTTGTGCCTGTATATATGCACTTCAGTTTGTCCCTATGTTTTATTCAGTTAGTGAGCAAACCAAAAAAAAAAAATTCAAAGAAAGAGTGCGCACACTTCCCTCCATCTCGGCCCGTGTTAGCTCGGCTCTGGTCTGCAGCAGAGCAGAAAAGCTCAGAAAAGCAGTGCCAGTGATCACACTGGCAGAGATAGAGCAGCATGCATCCCTGCCTTTCTTCAGATAAGACCCGGAAAAGCAGATTATTCCGACCCGTTTCCCCTCTCCCTTTCCAGCGTGGGTGGAGGGCGAGGGGGGATATTTTTAGGCTTGCACGGCGCCGTTATCTGACGTTGCCTTTTCAACACCTCAGAGGAGAGGGTGGCCAGAGGAGCTACATGACCTTGCTACCCTGTCTGCAATTGCCTGGCATTGCCACTGTTTAATACATGTTAATATTGTCAGTATTGACTATCAATAAACGCAAAGTCCTCTGGCTTGATGTTTGACGTGTTTCTCAAATGTGTGTTTGTGAGGGTGTGTTGTTTAAAATGAGATGGGAGCCAATAGAGCATGTGTGGAGAGACCTGAGAGATGCATAAGCGTCTCTTACTTGTGTAAAGTGGTGGCAGTTGGGCAGAGCCCGTTCCCATATAACTGCACACTTAGACAAGGCCTCTGCCTCTCTGTCAAGCAAATTGGACTATTCTTGCATTTAGCACCGTGATAGTGTCCATCAAGTGTTTGGGTTTGTATCTGGACATGTGGAGCGGGGTCTCAGGGGAGCGTACACGGTATCACACTCATGGTGTAAACACAGGAACCAGACAGAACATCCGCAACTCTGCATTCATACTGTCATTTCTACAGATTTGTCCAGTTATTGGTTTGTCATTGTGTATTTTCGCTGTGAGTCTAGTTAAAGTTTGTTGGTTCAAATTCTCAATTAAAACAAAGCAATGACTTTACAAAATCGAAAAAGTTTCAAAAAGGAATTCTTTAATAAACAAGTATACTGTCCAAAAATAAAGAAATGTCTTGGATCAGGTAACATCTTGAATTTGTCCTCATATTTACAGGTACAGAGAAAAGGTCACTGACTCTCAGGATGCCATTTGTATAGAAAATGTGTGTACACACAATACAGTTAATGAAAATTTGTAGTTCCATATAATCAAACAGAATATTCTTGCTGAACCTAATTAAATACACGTCAAGGTCATGGCTCGCAGCCATCTCCGTCCCAGCAACTTCAACATGTGTGTACACGTGGCTGACAGCGGGTTGTAAAAAGAATAAACTTTTTTACAACCTTTTAACCTTGTTTAAGCGTATTGAAGGAAGCTGCCTAACAGCCACTTGAACATTTTAACCAGACACAAACCATGTGAGGGTTGTACAGATGTTAGAGTCCTTTATGTGGACCTACTGTATATAACCGGGTCAATCACTGTGTGACCCACGGGTATAGATTATATACTATAATTATAATCATAGTTCACTATTACATATCATATAATGTAGACTTATTATTGTTTTTAGTCTATTTCTTAATGATTTAGGAATCGATAGTCAGAGCCAAACCAAGCCAATTATTACATTGGACAACTTTAGATAATTTTAAATAGTTGCATGTCAACAATATTATTATTATTTTTATTATTATGAATAATAATAATAAAAATAGCCTATAAAGATTTAATTATTTTGATTAATTAATATAAACATTTAATAATTTCCCATTGCCTTAATTGTTACAAAATTCTAGCCTGTTTTTCATCTTTGGTCATCTAAAATATTGTCTGATTATTTTTTTTTAATAGGTCCAAATATTGTATCAGAAAAACAAAAAACAAAATGAACATTCTACAAAATGGTCGGGCAAATTTTAGAATAACATTTCAAGAACTGTGGCTGCAACTTTTTTCGCTCAAATGCCGTGTCTGCTCGCTAATATCAGGGAAATAAATAAAAATGTAACCTATTCAGGCAAAAGCCGGTGCTGAAAACAAAAACTCCCAAAACTAAATAGCCTAATTAAATATAAGAGAAGTTACACAAACTCCGCAAAGTCTTGACACATTTAAAAATGCATGCATTCATAAAATAATAACTGAATATGTAACACGAGTATTTGATATTGAGTTTACCACGTCCTAATACCATGTAACGAAGACACCCCATTACTGGAGGGAAATGTGCTCTGCACGTTATTCAGGTCCCCTACCCCAAAGTTCATGTAGCTCCCGTTGTTGGAGGATCCCTGCATAGTTTGCATTGTGGCTGCGGGATAATTACACGCATAGTTTGTGTTGCAGCCGGGGCTGGTGTAGTTACTGAAAGCCGGGTAGTTGTTATAAGTGAAATGGTTGATGTGACCCATACTGTAGGAGGGGTTGTAGGTGGCTGTGTCCCCCGCCAGGCAAGGCTTCCCATCCCGCACCAGCACCGGCACCGACACCCTCCTGGGCGGCGGCAGAGACACCATCTCCAGGCTCTGGTCCTGCCTCTGCCGCTTGCACTTGTACCTCCTGTTCTGGAACCAGATCTTCACCTGGGTCGGGGTGAGTTTGAGCACCCCGGCTAAGTGGTCTCTCTCCGGGGCCGACAGGTATCTCTGCTGCTTGAAGCGGCGCTCCAGCTCGTACACCTGCGCCTGGGAGAAGAGGACGCGGGGCTTCCTGCGCCTCCGGGGCTTGGGTCGGTCCGGGTCCTCGGGTTTTATGTCCTCTGCAGGTTCGGTGTGAGGGCTGAACTCCTCTGAGTTACCAGACAGAAATTAAAAGATAAAAATATATATATATAAGTGCAAAAGTGATCTTTTGACAGAGGGGCTGGAGGCATATTTATTTTCATCAACACAACATATTAAACTTCTACTAGTGCTGATCAATAATAACAATAATCATATAGCTATTATAATATATAATATTACATGGTATAGTTAATTTGCTTGTGACACTTCAACCAAGTTTGGTGATTTAGCTCCCCTGGTCGCCCATGATGCATTCACTGTAAGCTCTGGGGAAAAATAAACACGAATAACACACCTAATCGAATAATGTAATTGAAGTTATATTTGCCAGTGCAGCTTTTTTAGTCTTGATATTTATATTTTGATATAAATTTTATAGATCTAAATAAATGTAGCAGGCCTACAAGAAAGTGCTGACCATCATCTCAACTTTTAAATTTGCTTAAATTTGGAAATTCCAGTGTCACAGCCTGTAGGCCGGTCCAGTGAGTGTTCCCCATATTAATGCGTATTGCTTTGGAGTTTTGTGTGGAGCATCTGATGCGTTTTGCACAAATGAAAGACCAGTCCAGTGGGCCTCATTTTGCACAGGCCTACAAAATCAAGTTTTATCCTGTCATCAGCTCACCTTTTCTGCGTTTCCCCTCAAACGGGTCTGATTTCCCGTCCTTCACTATATCCATCTCCATGAGTGATTTCCCATAAAAGGCAGTAGCAAAGTTGAGCGCATTGCCTCTGCCGGCTCTGGACTCGTGGAGATCCTCTCCAAACAGCGAGGCAGCGGCGGCGGACATGTCCCGGAGAGGCTCCTGCTTCAGGCGGGCCAGCATGCAGGAGGAAGAGGAGGAGGAGGAGGAGGTGGAAGAAGAGGAGGTCGGGACGGTGCAGCAGTCCATACGAGAAGAAACGTCCAGGGAAGACACCATCACGTCGTGACTCTGCTCCAAGTTTAATATATCCTTTACAGAGAAGGGAGTGGACGTGCTGGGGTTTGGAAACATTGCCAAGAGCAGAAAAAGAAAGCTATTAACCTGTCATGTGGAGGTAACAAAAAAGACGTCAACAAACTCCCTCTCTTTCCTGGTAATATTTACTGGATTTAAGTATCAGTTTGGTAGAGCAGACTGATCTTGAGTGAAGTGTGCATTTTGAATGTCAA